GTCCGGTCTTGTTTCGCTATAGAAAGTGGTCTGACCCTTAGCTTGCTAATAATATGTTGGGTTATACAGATAACATTGTTATTTAATTAAAACAAATCACGAAGATACTTACATTTAAATAGTTTTTAATAATTTAATTGCTTGACAAGAATTTTTACTCGTAATTTAATGAAAAAAGTGTTTATAATTGAAAAAAAAATAACAACCAAAAATGGAAAAATAAGACGCAGTCCATTTTAGTAGCGTGGGAAAAATAGTTTTGGTAGATTACAAAAGTATTCACTAGCCTAATATAGTAAAGAGATGTGATTTATGGGTGCACAGTGGCAAAATTTAAAAAGTGGAGACAGCTTGCCGTGAGAAAAATTATGAGTCAAAGTAATTATCTAGTTCCAATATCATACGATAGCTTAGAGAAGCTGGATGAAGTTTTACGCAGTCTGATCTCTCTTGAAATGGCACAAGTCTCTTCTATATTACAATTTTCTACATATTATCAATCAAGAGTAAAATGAGAATCATTCGTGGTTAAATGAGGAATCTATTGATGAGTTGCAGTAGTTTTCCGTCATCATCATCATCTTGTTTTGAAGCTATTTTCTTGTGGCATTGTAAATTAATTACTATTTAACTGGGAATAAGCCACAATTAAAGATAAAAATACGTTTATTGACGTTTCAATTTCCACTTCGGAAATCGTTCTCAAAATACAAACAGTAAATTAAACAAATTTTGTTTTTTGTTACATAGTGAAAAATTCTTCTAATAATTTAATTTTATCTGACTCATTTATATTGACAATTCAGACATACATTATGCATTTTAAAGTAGACGACTTTAAAATGATATTGCCAATATTGTTGAGTTGCGCTCCTGGGACGACTTTACTTATAAGATAGTTCATTCGATTACATGAAATCAACTTTAACTTGAGAATATCCGTCAGAAAAAAATCATAGCATGTAATTCGTCTTTAAAAAGACAAACACATGACATGATGACAGTAAAATTCTCCTGTTAGTGATTCCATAGTAAATTATGAGGGAAAAACCAGGAAAAAAACCTCATAATACTATCCCGACATTGTAAGTATTTGTTCGTGAATTTAGTTTACCTTCAACAAACATCAAAATTCTGATTTTATATGTTACGTTATTTAAAAAACATAAATGATGTATCCTCTATATGTTACTGACTTACTAATACTGGTATTTTCTTATTAATAACTTCCTCTTTCAATATTGGTAACCAGATCCTACTACATTCTGCCGAGGAATTTGCGACACAATTGGCCTCATTTAGCATAATTAGAGCCGCTTCTTTGATTTTTCTTTTTTTACCATCCGTTTCTTTTAGGACTACATTTGAATTATTCCATTGAACCCTATGTTCATTATCCCATGCGTGTTTACAATTTGAGATCTATCAAATTCTCTATTTTTAATATAAGATTGATGTTCACTTATTCTAACATTTAATGGCCTTGATGATTCACCTAAATAAAACTGATCGCATTCACAAGGTATTTTATAAATGCAATTCTTTGTCCTTTCTTGTTCATTGTTAGGTTTGGTTTTGGACAAAATAGATCTCAACGTGTTTGTTGTTTTGAATGTTGTTGAAATGTTGAATTTATTTCCTATCCTTTTAAGTTTTTCTGATAGTCCTTTTATGTACGGTATTGTTATTTTCCTCATATTATTCCTTGTGTATGCTGTAGGATCTCGTTCTAAGTTGTTCTGTTCTATTCGATCGATTGTTGAAAATTCCTTATTTATAAACGATAAAGGATAATCATTTTTTAATAAAACAGATGTTAACAAATGTTTCTCCTCCAAGAACGAATTTTCGTTAGAACAAGTAATTTTGGCTCTATCGTATAAGGATTTAATTATTCCCTTTTTTACATTAATATTGTGATTTGATTTGAAATTTAAATATCTATTGGTGTGTGTTGGTTTTCTATACACCTGAGTCTCATATCCAGTATCGTTCTTAGAGATTAAAACATCCAGGAAAGGTAGCGTGTTATTATATTCCTTTTCCATGGTAAATGTTATTGTGAATGCGATCAGTTTTATTTAGGTGAATCATCAAGGCCATTAAATGTTAGAATAAGTGAACATCAATCTTATATTAAAAATAGAGAATTTGATAGATCTCAAATCTGTAAACACGCATGGGATAATGAACATAGGGTTCAATGGAATAATTCAAATGTAGTCCTAAAAGAAACGGATGGTAAAAAAAGAAAAATCAAAGAAGCGGCTCTAATTATGCTAAATGAGGCCAATTGTGTCGCAAATTCCTCGGCAGAATGTAGTAGGATCTGGTTACCAATATTGAAAGAGGAAGTTATTAATAAGAAAATACCAGTATTAGTAAGTCAGTAACATATAGAGGATACATCATTTATGTTTTTTAAATAACGTAACATATAAAATCAGAATTTTGATGTTTGTTGAAGGTAAACTAAATTCACGAACAAATACTTACAATGTCGGGATAGTATTATGAGGTTTTTTTCCTGGTTTTTCCCTCATAATTTACTATGGAATCACTAACAGGAGAATTTTACTGTCATCATGTCATGTGTTTGTCTTTTTAAAGACGAATTACATGCTATGATTTTTTTCTGACGGATATTCTCAAGTTAAAGTTGATTTCATGTAATCGAATGAACTATCTTATAAGTAAAGTCGTCCCAGGAGCGCAACTCAACAATATTGGCAATATCATTTTAAAGTCGTCTACTTTAAAATGCATAATGTATGTCTGAATTGTCAATATAAATGAGTCAGATAAAATTAAATTATTAGAAGAATTTTTCACTATGTAACAAAAAACAAAATTTGTTTAATTTACTGTTTGTATTTTGAGAACGATTTCCGAAGTGGAAATTGAAACGTCAATAAACGTATTTTTATCTTTAATTGTGGCTTATTCCCAGTTTAATAGTAATTAATTATCATCATTATCAGTTGCATTACAGCTTGTCATGGACCAAAGCCTTTTTCAGAACAATCTTCCATTCGCCCCTGTCTCTGGCAACTCTTCTCCATGCTTTAATTCTGATAGATTGTTGATATTCCTCTATGTTATCTTAATACCTAAGTTTTGGTCTTCCTCTAGATACTCTTCTTACTGGTCCTCTTCAGTCGAAAATTTTTCTGATCGTTGCACCCTGTTCTTGGACTCCTCCATATATTTTCCTTAGAATTCTGTGTAGGTGACCACGTTTCTGACTCGTATGTTAACACTGGCCTTATTAGTGTTTTATATATGGTAATTTTAATTTTTCTGGGTAGTTTTGAGGCCATCTGTTTCCTCAAGCCATAATAGCACTTATTGGCAAGCACTATTCTTCTTTTAATTTCTTCGCTGACATTGTTGTCTTTGGTCAGCAGCGAGCCCAGGTAGACGAAGGTGTCCACACCTTCCAGTTCCAGATCATCAATTAATAGTCTAGGTATCTGGTTGCCTGATCTAGTACAATACATATACTTGGTTTTCTGTGCGTTTATTTTTAATCCCATTCTCAGTGCAGACGCCCTTAATGATCGAAATGCTTCGATCAGAGATTCTGTGGACCTAGCAATAATGTCTATGTCATCTGCATATCCGACCACTTGTACAGATTTATTAAAGATGGTGCCATTCGTATTAATATGGCACTCTCGAATTACTTTTTCTAGTGCAAGGTTAAATAAGAGACACGACAGTCCATCTCCCTGTCTCAGTCCATTTTTACAATGGAAGGGTCTTGAAAAGTCGTTTTGGATTCTGACTACACTCTCTACGCCTGTGAGTGTAAGTTCCGTTAGTTGAACAAGATGAAGCGGCATTTGAAATTCCACCATAGCCTGTAGAAGTTTTTGTCTGTTGACTGAGTCGTATGCGGCTTTGAAATCCACGAATATGTGGTGGGTGTCGACTCCGAACTCAAGCGTTTTCTCAAGAATCTGCCTGACTGTGAAGATTTGATCCGTTGTTGATTTATTGGGTCGGAAACCGCACTGGTAGTTCCCAACTATTTGTTCAGCATAGGGGATCAATCTTCTGTACAATACGTTGGACAATACTTTATATGCCACGTTAAGTAGGGTGATGCCTCTATAATTATCACACACCATCATATCTCCTTTTTGTGAAGAGGGTGCATTACACCTAATTTCCAGTCTGCGGGTGTTTCCTTCCGTAGCCAGATTTCGGTTACTAATTTATGCATGTGTTTAACAAGGGTGTCACCACCATTTTTAAAGAGTTCGGTAGGAAGATTGTCCAAATCAGGGGCTTTGTTATTTTTCAGTTTTAAAATGGCTTCTCTAATTTCTTCTTCGGTGGGGGCGGCTCTTGAGCGTTTTCATCAATTTCAGGCAAGTAATTTCTATTTGGTCTTCTTCACGACTGTCTCTAAGCAGTTCTTCAAAATGATTCGCTCACCTGTTTAGTATCTGTTCTTTGTCACTTATTATGGAACCATATCTGTCTTTACATGCTGTTATTCTGGGTTTGAATTATTTTCTTGATTGATATTATTAATAAGAATACAATGAGAGTACAATGAGAATCATTCGTAGTTAAATCAGGAATCTACTGATGAGTTGGTTTTCCATGCTTGTCCAAATAAATCTTGGTCATGTTTTGCTCTACGTCGAGTAAAAAGCATGACAATTCATTTTACCGAACATCCATGTTCTATCTGATCTTGTCCATGTGAACAACAGTGTTTACGAAAGTCCTACTGTCGTCAAATTTGCCGCTGAACCCATTTTACACACTACAGTTAATAGCCAGATATATTTTAGGTGTAGTGCTCTTTTTCTTTGTCATAAAAACTATTTTAAAATATTCTGAAGAACATTCAGACTGTATTGAGGAGGAACACAATGGAGAAGCCAATAGTAGAGCACCCCAAGATAGAGCTATCCATTTTTAGCCATGTGTATAATTAAAGAGATATCTATTTATATAAATCTATTAAAAAATTAAATACTCACTGTGCACTGTCAGTATATGTGTTTGAACGATGTCCTTGTTCCTCTGAGCGTGGCAAGTGTAATTGCCGGCATGCTGCAGCTGAATCCTGGTTAAGTATAAGCTGCCGTCACCAAAAACTCTCACGTCTTCATTATTAAGGGTGGCCAGATCGACGGAGTTTCTTCTCCAAATGATGGGAGGTACGGGCGATCCAGTAACGTCGCATTTGATTTCGACGTTATCCCCCACACGTGCCGATAGATGGTTGGTTTCCAAAGCCTTGTCTAAAGAAACGACGTAGACGCCTGCAATGAAAAACTATGACGTAATTTGCAGAGTGAAAATCGCAGAGGAAGATTGTAAAATAGCATTAATATTTGAAGGTTATACTCGAATTAATATTTTCCATTGCAAGCTTTTTAGTTATCTTTTATATTTATTAAAATTGAATAACAATTTTAATTGAAAATGAGTATATTTTGATGTTTCCGATGGCCCCAATAAGTTTGTCATAGTAGTACTTGTGTGCTTATATGTATTGATAGCCAAAAAGGGCGAGACGTGTTTTATATATAAATCAATTATTATTTAATTTGCACACTTATTTTACTACAGAAAGAGCCAATCAAGGCCCTTTGTTACCAGTTTAATCCGTACATAAGCGTGTGTATGACACATTGTGTATTAGCAAGATAAAACTCAAGACAGTTTTGTCAAAATTTTGAAAACTAGAAAAAGATTTTGACTAGAAAAAGTGTAAATAGTATAATAGGGAAAAATATTTCATTTCCTCAGGATTTCTTCAGGCCAAAATTACTAGTTATCAAAAGAAATGAAAAACCAAAAATATTTACAGTAGACATAATATGTTAATACACTTTTCATTGGGAATTCAATTCCATTGAACATATTTGGAGAATATACAAAAATTACTATGATAACCATATTGGACGTAACGTTTACAGTGACACAGAAGTTTTGGAAACGTGACAACAACGTGCTAGTCCTGAAATTTGGGGAAAAAGTGTGTGGACCGTTTAAGTCAAAGACTAATTTAAAATAGTCGCAAATTCGTGAAATGTTAAAATTATAAAAAGCCAAAAAAAAATAGTAAATTTGACCCCAGTGTCAAACCATTTAATTTATTCGCCCGAATTGGCACCATGTGACTTTTGACTGTTTTGAAAATGTTAAGTTGGCACTAAAGAGACCATAGAGAAATAATTTCTAAGCTAACAAAGAAAAATTAACATGTCTGGGAAATAAGATTTTATTATAGTCACTCTTAATATATGCATTAACTCTTTTAAATGTGCATGATTAATATTAAAGCAATACTTACTATATAGTTTGCTAAACGCCACATAAAATTCGTTAATACTTAGTTTTCCGTCGTGGTCTGTGTCATCGTACAGAATCATATCAGACAAAGAGCAACCTCTACTAAGAGTCTCTAGTCGTTCTTGAATGTACATCTAGAATCAAAAATCACCGTAAAAATTTAGAAGAAAATTATTATAGATATAAGCATAGAGCAGTTTTAAAAGTTCCATACATTCTGCAATTTTACGTTTAAAAATTAACCTTAGTTTATTATTGATATTTGATAAAGGGAATTCTGCGTGATTCTAAATGCTTTTATGCGTGTTCAGCGCCCTCCAGTATAAATTTATATATTAGGTATATTAAACCTTAAGACAAACTACATTTTTTAGCATCAGCGTAATTTTTAACATCATAACTCTCTTCGCAATTTGATATAAAGAAAAAACAACAGGGCCATATACTGTATAAATAATTAAGCTTTTAAAATGTTAGGAACATTATTGGCATATTTAGCCGAATTAATTTCATTGTTTGCCGTGAACACTGCGCCCTCTAACGGTCATATTTGGAATATTTTTGCTATAAATTCATTGAAGCGAAGCTTCAATACTGACGTTGTATTACTTTTTTCTCTATAGTAAAATGATAAAGCGAGCTCCACGGAACTAACGTCACAAGATGGCGTAGTCACGGAACTAGCGTCACAAGTTGGGCTCGCTTCGTCGTCACAAAATATACACAATAAATGAGAAGAAAAAAATTAAAATAATATTTGTCAATAAAAGATTCGATTCGCAACGATTGTTAACATTTAAAAGTCATAAATGATAATAAAATTACTTTATTCAATTTTTAAAATGTTTAAAATATAGAAAACATAGTAGGAAACTTCGCGCTAGTCTACTATACAGCCTACTGAAACATATATTTTTTTAATCTATATTTATGATGAGGTTTTAATTTTTTTGGTTTACGTTTGAATCGATAAGAAGAGAAAGCTGAGATGTCCATAAATAGGCATTTTTGATATTTTGAAATATATTATAAGTAAAGACGCGTTGTTTTATATAGAAACCGAATATATCCTCATATTCATCTAATGCTTTTATGTGTATTAGAAATTATGGTATTGTGGAAAAACCGGATAAGTCCTGGACATGTCCACTTTTTCTACAAAAGCTACAACGCATGTCTATTCGTCCCAATATACATTTGTCATTCGTCACTATGAAAGGTGTACAAGATGATAATCTCGAATTAAAAATTAAAAAAAGAGAAATCCAGAGTGTTGGAAGGCTGTTATCAATAAAAAGCAAGACAATCTGGATAACAGTATACTGATTATAAAAGTCGTACTATTCCAAGCAAAACGATTGGAGAACCATGTAGGTATGTTGTTATAACCTCAAATTTTGTTAAATATTTCATTCTTATATAGACTTATTACATTGTAGATGTAAGAAGAAATGTTTCTTGCGATTCCTCGTGAATGTAGAGAAGAGATTTTTACAAAATTTTATAAATTAGAAAACAAAAATGCTCAAGACGCTTATCTTCAGTCCCTTATTGAAATATTGACAGTTGACCAGACGGCGTCCTAGACAAAACACTGAAGATAACAGGAGAAAACCACATGAACACTCATTTTCGTACAGAGTGCAAACAAGTACAGGAGTTTATTCTGTTTGTAAATCTGCATTTTTAAGTCTGCATGCTATAACGAAACACAGAGCAGGTCAATTGATAGAGCTTTTAGAAAAAGGAGAAGGATTAAGGAAAAGAAATAAGGACATTTATTGAAATTTGCACCCTACTTGGATGAGAACATTCCTGGATACAAAATATTTTATGATTCCTTATTTATATTACCAATTGCACGAAGTGAAGATAAATCCGAAGAACTTTGATTTATTCCTTTTTATCTTGGTATTTTGTGTTGTATTGTTTATATCATAACAAATAATCCTAAAAGACTAATGTTGTCTAAAAATCGGACAGGTCCAATAAAGACATATTTATTTTCTGTCCTCTGATAGTTGCCTTATTACATTTTGTATCAATATTTATCAGTGATGGATTACTCTATACTGTGGTAATTAAAATTGTGTTAAATACTGGATAGTTTTCAATAGAGGAATTTTTTTCTTATTTATTGCTAACTTGATTTTTGTGACATGTCCCCTTTCTCTTCCAACTGATTCATTTATATTAAATTGTATTTATCTTTTTACCATCTAGTGTTATTCTCAGCAGTTTCTCTTTATCCATCCCCACTCCATGTCCAACCCATTGAAGTCTCTAAAGTTTATCACGTTCTGAGAGAGGTGGTTCTTTAAACTGTTGCTAAAGTTCATGGTTAAATCTAGATCTCAATGTACCATTTTCGGTGATGGGTCCAAAGATCTACAAAATTTTTCTTTTGAAAATTTCCAACTTTTTTTTTTTATTTTGTCATGTCACAGATGTCACACATCCATAACATATTGTAATTATGGTTATAAATCTCATATTTGATTTCTCCAGCTATTGGAGCTATTGGAGCGGAATATATCAGCTAACGGGAAATAGTCTTTGTTTTCCTTTGGTATTTTTTTTTAATTTCGGCTTGTTTTGAATTTAATTCGGTTTCTAGATATATGAAGCTCTCCACTGCTTCAATATTGTCGTTTACTTTAATTTGGTTTCTTTTTTTGCTTTTATTGGAGCCATCCTATCGCCTTGTTTTAGCACTTGGGCAGTTTCAAAGTTCTTAGTAAATTTTGTAAGTAAGTATATCCGTGAGATATATTTTGAGAAAATGTGGAAGTTTTAATAATAATATATAAGTATATAATATATAAGAATATAATAAATAAGTTTGTTTAATTACATGTTATGTATATATATTTATCAAACTATTTGGTGGCATGCATAAATATCAGTGGTGTTTCTTTTAAATCCAGTTATATACTGAACTGATTGAACTTGAAACATTTGATATAGTTTTCATCCCGTACTTTTCAAAATTTGTTATCGATCTTACAGGCATACGATCTATAAACGATTTAGTTTGTTAAACCGCAATACGATTTCACATTTGTTTCCAACAAAGTAAAACTCATACAATGGAAGGGCATAATCAGTAGAGTGCACCGTTTTGGTCTGAATAATCAACCCGTGAAAATGATGAATAAATTAAACATAGGAAGGGCGGGGATATGGATATTTACAAACTTTGCTGAATTGACATAATAGCGATGGCAAATTAGACGCGGACTGAAAAATATATAGCAACTATATAAAAGCATAAAAGTGTTCTAAATAATAGATAATTTAGTTTATAGAACATTGGTACATGGCAAATGCATAACCAGGTGCCAAACCGAATTTATATTGCATTAAATATATATACACTTCGTTTAATATAAAAATACGGTTATGGTATTCAGTTTTGCTAATATAATTTATCAGAATAATTTTTATGACCCATATTTCAACTTTATAAAGTAATTACTATTTAAATGGGAATAAGCCATAATTAAAGGTTAAAGTACATTTATTGACGTTTCAATTTCCACTTCGGAAATAGTTTTCAAAATACAAATATATCTTTCACTTTAGTAAATTTATTAATAATTTTTCCTATCCCTTTTATTAAGCGGTATGTTGATGACCTATTACTAGCCTTACCTCCAGACAAGATACAGGCCACCTTGTCTTTGTTCAATGAGTTTGATCCTCACTTACAGTTCACTGTTGAACTTGAAGATTCCATCACCCTTCTTAGACATGCGTGTCATTAGAATGGGAGATAACACCTTAACTACAAGTTGGTATAGGAAACCAATGGCCCTAATAGGTTTCTCAACTACCATTCTTGTCACCCCTTTAAATATAAATTAAACCTTATTAAAGCTTTAAGCTTTTAAAGGCTTTAATTTAACATCCGGTAAATCGAAGGGAATCCCTTCAATTACTCAGAACATATGATAAGAACTCTATTTCCTCATAATAATACCTTATTACAAGATGGTACCATTAACCCAATCGTGACCAACTTAGAATAATATCAAATAATTCCACTAATAACACTGTTCTGCCTACTACTGTACTTGGGACTCCAACTACCCATTACTCTTCTTTACCTTATTTCCCTCAAGTTACGGAAAAACTTATTAAACTGTACAAACATATAATGTACCTCTTAAAATTACAGTTAAGCATGCCAAGACTGTCAGAAATTTGTTTCCTAAAACAAAAACACCCTTGACCCTTTTGGAACAAGTAAATGTCATCTATTAAAAACACATACCTTGTACTGAGTGTGACTCGTGCTACATCGGTCAGACAGGGAGATCACTGAGAGGGCGTCTTACGACCCACCGCAGTGATATTAACTTATCTAAGCTTGTGCTCTTGCCCAGCATGCTATTAACACTAATCACAAAGTTCACTTTAATGAAGTTAAGATTCTTGGCAACGAACGTAATCTCGTAAAAAGGCAGTTTTTGGAAATGTGTTCGATACTCAAACACCCTAACGCTCTTAATAAGAAAACGGACATTAGTAACTTGAGCCAAATTTATTATGCATTAATATTGCAGAATTTGGCTTAATGTGTTGTTTACTTTAAAATTGAAATAATTACAAATAATTTTTGATTAAATAGTTTAATAAAATTTTTAAATTAAATTGATTTTTAGAATCCTTATTAGTTTCTCAGTTCCAAATTGTTATCAACTTTGGACTGTTGGAAGTTGAATTAAATCTTCACCTGTGGCTGGCTAACCAGCTACAACTTAGACTCTTAAGTTTGATATTTAGGGATCGACCTCACTTGTTTGTTCACTTTCTCCGAGCCAATCCCTGAGGGGAAAATGGTGTTCTTAAGCACCTTTTTCTTTCATATTTTGGTTCGTACAGACAAGGTCTTCACCTAATATATCATATTTTTTAAACTTACCGCTCTATTGCATTAGCGGTTGGCAACTCGCCTTGTTGTCTGTCATGATGTGATTTCAAGGACACTGTCTTTTCAAGACATAGCTTGGTCTTTCTAAAATAAGCTCCCATTTGCCGGGTGCCTCTTGTAAGCGTTGGGAGCTAATAGTTCATTACACTTCATTACACTTTTTAATATTACTACAGCAAAATCTTAATCACTTCAATAATGTTATCTAAAGTAAAAATTAAATTTAACTAATATTATACTGTTGGAAGTGTGATCTTATGATCTTGTTATTTCTCGGCAATTGTTTTTACATAAGTTTTTTTCTACATACTTTTTACAGTGTAAATTACATGTACAATAACCACATGGTCTTTTGCTGTTCTAAGTTTGAGTTAATTTGTATACTGTATTTCTTACCGAAAAACCGAAAAACCCACCACTCTTTGAGTGATCCTTAATATATATATATATATATATATATATATATATATATATATATATATATATATATATATAGTATAAAGAATAGTATTAAAGTTTCGTGAAACAAAGGCCCAGTTTATAGGGATAAAAAAAGTACGAATAGACTGAAAACAAGAAATTACGCTCTCGTCTTCATTTACAAGAAAAATAATAATAAACACGCTTTCATATGCTCCAGAAACGCTCAAAGGAGACGTGCACATATTACCAAATACACGGGCGGGCTTTAATAATAAAAAAGTCATAACTTAACCAACAGCAGAAGCATTTATTACAATCCTACAGGAGATTAGAAACGCTGAAACAATACACCAGTCTTGTAGCACATAGGTAGAAGAGAGAGTCAGAAAATATTTTTAGTAAAAAGAAATAGTGATATTTACAATAAATTATTATTGATAAGTCAATAAATATGCACAATATATACTAAATGGAACTAAGCATTAAAAAACGAATTAATAAAACCGAACGATGGATTCAGCACAAGTCCATCTTCAGTTTATGAGAGAGTACGCAAGATGAAAATACTATTACTTAAAAAATTGCGCAACAGTTGAAAAATATTCTTTTTAAATGTCATTTATCGAGAAAAGTGTTGTCCTTCCTCCAATCAAGTTTTTTTAATTGGATTCATTTAGAACTTGTGAACAGTAGCTCTACGACGATTGCGCCATTAAATTGTATATATCCAAACACTTAAATAGTGGTGTGTACAAACTTCAATGTGGCGACTGCCCAAAAACTTACATCGGTCAAACTGGTAGAAACTTTGATAAACGAATAGCAGAACATAAGGGCTTTCAAAAATAGAAAAACAGATTCGACATACGCACTTCACCTTCTAGATCATAATCATTCTTTTAATGACAAATTTAAAATTCTTCACATTCAAAATAAAGGCCTCAAGCTATCTTTGTTAGAATCTATGAAAATCAACAAATTAAAAAACACAGATATAATTATTGTGAATGACCAACTTGAGACAAACAGTTCTCCCCTCCTCAACATATTTCATTAGAGACTATAAATTTGTAAACCCAAGCCAAAATGAATAATCCATCATAAAATGAATTTCCATCAAGTAACGGTCGAATCCATCAAGAAATTAGAATTAATCTAAAGCCAACCCTGGATTTCCGCATTAAATAGTTACTGTATCATCTTTTATCGCGACATTTCATCAACATCCATATTTATGATAATCATCGGTTAGTGTTTTGTCGTTGCTGTTTATTGCTAAAAGTTTGAAGGATATTTTGTGGTTCAAACTCTGTTATAACTGTAAAAACTTTTTTACTACTTTCACAGTCTACCACGAACATCACTTGACGTAAAACGCTTTAAATTTGCTGTCATCAAATATATCTAGAGACAAGAATCGCGAAAGGTAAAATCTGTCATTAATTTTTTTATTGGTAAAAAAAACAAGAAATAAAGAAGAATATTGTATCTGTTATAGCGCACAAAAGATCAAAATGTGATACAGTGTAATATAAGAAAAGAATATCTAAAGAAATATTTATTTAAAATCTTAATTTAAAGTAAATTGTTCTACAAGAGTTCGAATTGAATAAGGTCAATGTCGAACATGATACTATAGACCAGGCAGATCTGTTTTCTGTTTTGAGGTGGAATGTGAGAGGCATTCAGATTTTTGCAGAAATAGTTAGATTATAACTTCAGGTTCTAGTATCCAACTGAGTTTTCCAAATTCTGTCTATATTAGTCTCGCTCTTCTAGTGATTTCTCCACTTTGCTCTTCTTTGTCAAGTTTCAAAATTTGGCCTAGGCTGATATATTCTTAGATTAGTTTTATCCCATTGCTATTTATAGTTATATGTCTGGGGTTGTCTGTGGTTGCCATTGTTTTTGTTTTTGTCATATTCATTTTTAGGCCGACGTATGTCTGTGAGTTCCTTCACCATATTTTGTAATTGCTCGAATGTGCTCGCCATAAACACGACATTGGTCAGCAAATCTGAGGTTTTCTAACTTGTTGCCATTAACGTTGATGCCATATGTTGACCAATTTGTATTTTTGAAGATGTCTTCTAGGGCTAGATTAAATAGATTTGGCGATATTACGTCACCTTGTCAAACGATTATTACAATAAAATGGTCCAATTATTTTTTACGCTTTTCCAATCTTGTCACAAAAACTTGAGAAACCAATGTCTCCTAAAGCTTCACCATCGCAGTGGTTTGCGAGCAAAAGCGCCACCTGCTTTGGCGGCCGTGAACGAAAACAATATAATCACATCGTTTTCTACCTCTGGGCTATGCGAAATGTGTAAAAGAATAAATCTTTTAGCAAAAAGCTGCTATCGCTTTGTTGTATGAAATGGCCAAATATATGGCCTAGGAGGAGAAATTCGTTAAACTTCCTGTGTTCGAATCGGTATGGCGCCTCTGCTCGTAACATGCGATGGTGAAGCTTTGGGAGACATTCGTTCTACTTTCCGAGTTTGAATATGTATCAACCCAAGTGTCTGATGAGGCTGGGATAGGCCGAAATGAGTCATAACACTTTATGATACGATCAACACGGGAAGTAACAATTTCTCCTAGACCATATTTGGCATTTCATACAAAGCGATAGCAACTTTTGTGTGTGTTGGTTTTTTATACACCTGAGTCTCATATCCAGTATCGTTCTTAGAGATTAAAACATCCAGGAAATGTAGTGTGTTATTATATTCCTTTTCCATGGTAAATGTTATTGTCTCTTCTTTATCGTTTATATCATTTAGGAATGTGTCCAACAACTCTAATCCATGAGGCCATATTGGGGATACATCATCTACATATCTCCACCATTAACAAATAATATTTGTTTCAAAATCTTCCATAAATATATCGGCTAATATTGAAATTTAACTAGACCCCATTGCTAGACCAAAATTTTGTTTATAGAATTTATTATTTAAAGTTTTTAAATGCTTATATTTGTTTATACTTATATATATTTATTTATTGCCAAATATATTCGTGTTTAGGATACATATTTACGTAGCTGTTGGCAATAAAACCAATAAAAAACTTATATCTAGGTATTATAGCTCATCTAAATTGTGTAAATATTTAAATAGAAATTATAGAGAAACGTTCTACAAATCTTTAAATCCCTTAGAGTCTAGCACCTTTAAAACCTAATTTAGCCCTCTCTACCGACACTTTCCGAAGTAAATCAAGCAACGTCATCCGAAATAATAAAACAATCCACGAGAGCAATTCCCGAATTATGTCCTCGGTACCGAGCTAATAAATTCGGTTTAAAGGACTCCCATATCCTCCTACATTATATTCTTAGACCTTACCTCATTCAGCTCGGTGGCTTCCAAGTTGCCATTGTTGTTTCTGTCGTAATGAGAAAACATAATGGAGACCAAGTAGTCCTTGCTATGATTGTTCTGGGACATCAACCTAGCGTGATTGTAGAGTAACAAATTGTCCTGGAAAAATATTTGGTTAGTTAAGTTTCGTCGCTTTAAATTCGATAATTTTGTTTATATAAAGAATTATTCGTGAAGACCAGTTTATTAAAAAAAAGTAAATATACACTGCTTAAAAAACAAGGTAAGACTTTTTGTGTTTTGTAAGTTAAGGTGAGTGAAATACATAACATAGATGAACGTAATTTAAAACAAATTTAAACTTTTATTCCTTCTTCTTTTTATATAAATAATAAAAATTTGAAAAAGTTGGTCAGACTTGAATAATAATTCTATTATTTAGATCATTCTCGCTACTTTTTTTACACTTTCGTCATCATTTGAAGAATTTGGGTGTTGGTTTAGAATTGTCAAACAAACAAGCTTAAGTCACAAATAAGTAATTTTTTAGGAATGGCAGAAAACTTCTAGCTTTGGTCTGAAAAAGGATAATGAGTTCTAATCAATGTTATGCAATAGAATTGGTTCCAAGCATGCGATTAAAATACTCATTTTAGTTAGGGTAGCTAAAAAATGGTTTAAAAAATTGATTTGGTTTTGGCAATCAGATCTTTAGCACGAACTCAGTGGAAATAAGTCATTTTGCATGTAAAATGTTTTACACATAAGTTTATTTACATCTAAATAAAGTAATAAAACAATAAATTAAAGGTTTAAATAGTTTTCTGCATAAACCTCTATTTTTATAAAATAATAATATAGGAAACTTTGTTTTCAAACTTCCACAAAAATTTATTTTAAATCTTATCACTACAGCTGTTTCAGCTGATTGCCTTTCTCAAGTGATGCATCATTTGAGAAAGGCAATCTGAAATTTACAAGCCACTGACTGGCATGTAAATCTATATTTGTCCAAAATTTGTCAAAGTGACAACAATAGAAAAACCAAACACCTTCGTGACGGATCTGTCATAATTTTGTTGCTGAGAAATCACGGGCAGGAAAGAGGTTTGTCAGTTAAAAATAGTCTAGTGAAATAGTCTGTTTTATATTACGATTATTCATGGATTACTATGTAAATATGACGTAAGTGATCAATGAGAAGGTCACGTGGTCGATAAACCCAGCCAATTCTCTTGAGGACCCTTTCTGCCAGTTTGAGTCAGACTCTTTGGTTCTCTGTCGTCCTGGGGGAATGATCTGGTAGTACAACGATCATTCTATCTTGTATTATATGTCTATGGTTAGGTTAGGTTTATTTAGACAGGATTTGCTTCACCTATTTCGAGACTCGTGAATGGCCGCTTATTTATTATTTTATAAATGAATTTTATTTTTATTTGCGTATTTGTTATTCATCTTGTCAATATTCGAAAAAATCGAATTAGAAAAAAGCAGGGCGATAAAAAAACAATTTTTTATTATTTTTTTAATTTATAATATTTTTCATGAAAAGGGTGACATTATATCAAACGATTTTTAAATTTAATTAACTGATCAAATTTAATTTTTACATAACGTATATACATGTGCCTCTTAATTCATATTTAAATTATTTTTGTGAGGTATACTACAGAGAAAATTGTTCCCAACTGCAGGTTAATTCAAGAGTTAATGTTAAAAAAAACCGTATGCTTTTAAAACTTTCAAAATAAATTCCAAATAAAATACAGAGAAACAAAAGTTTACCTGATTTTATTAAAATCACCGACATAGCTTGGGAACTTATAAAAGCGGCGATCCATAAATTCATTTGAAAAATCGTATCTGTAGCATTACTAATCATAAAAAGGGATTTTTTTATTTTTTGAATAGCTGAGTGTGAAAATTGTGCAGAAGGTAAATGCGAAAAGACGGGATAAAAATGTGGTGTGTGGATTAGTTATGATATTTGACTTTATTGTACTTGTTGTACAATGTTTTTAATATAAGAAAACAAAGAAGATAAAGGGGTTATCGACAAATAAAATATCAGCAGAATGTAAACAATTTTAATTAAATTCTAACTTTGACTGAAACAAGACCTCAATTCACGAACGTCAGTACAACAACATATGAATGGAATTCAGTGAAGACGATGAAATAACAATACAGGAAGTCGAGAATGCAATACGAACTCTAAAAAATCGGAAGTCATGCGGATCACAAGGTATACCAAATAAATTATTAAAATATAGCCCACAAGTATTACGGGAATTACTGGCGTGTCTTCACCTTATTCTGTAATGGACACGACTTACTACCGAAGTGGACAAAAGCACATATTATTAACAACATCTACAAAAAAGGAGATAGAAAGAATTGTTCAAACTATAGGGGGCTAAGTGTCATAAATTCACTCTCAAGACTGTATGGAAAAATAATAAAAAATAAAATTGAAAAAGAGATGACAGATGTAGAAGAACAGAATGGCTTTCGTGCAGGCAGATCCTGTATGGACAATATATTCTCTCTAAAGCAAGTTATCGAGAAAAGATTAGCCCACAACCTTTCAACTCATATAGTCTTTATAGATCTGACAAAGGCATACGATAGTGTACCACTTTCAATGCTTTGGGTAGCAATGGAAAAACAAGGAATAAGCAAAAAAAATATAAAAGCAGTACAACAGCTCTACAAAAATACGACGGCATTATTAAAACTGGAAATAGATTAACTAGAGAAATTCCTATTAATAAAGGTCTAAAACAAGTCTGCTGCATAGCACCTACACTCTTCAAAATATATCTAAATGAGGCACTCTCACTGTGGAGAAGAAAGTGCTGCAATATGGGCATCCCAATCGGAGATGATAGATTGTACACGATACACTTCGCTGACGACCAAGCCATTCTAGCTGAAGACGAGAGTGATATAAGCTACATGCTTAGAAAACTGGAAGATGAGTACACCAAATGGGGCCTCACAATTAATATACAAAAAACTGAGTACTTAGTTGTAGGAGAAAAACCAGAAAGCCTACAAATCGAAATGGGAACTATAAAACCAACAGACAATTTTAAGTACTTGGGAGTCCAAATAACATCAAAAGCAGGAAGTAGCGAAGAAATACATTCCAGGATTGGCCAAGCAAGATCAGCCACCAGACAGCTACACGGACTATTATGGAATAAAAAAATAACAAAAGAAAATAAAAGAAGAATTTATAAAACAATAATAGAAAGTATTGGGCTGTACGGCGCCGAACTCTGGGAAATAAACCAAAGAAACCAATCAAAAATTAAGGCCATGGAAATGAACTACTGGAGACGATGTTGCCAGCTCACTAAACTTGATAGGGTGAGAAACGAAGACATTCGGAGAGAAATGGAAATCGATCTAGACATAATAGACACAACCGAAGCCAAAAGACTTAACTGGTATGGGGTCCATTTCAAGCGGCGCAGTGTAGAAGACTCGACTATTAAGCAGTCGCTGGCATAAAGGGCTAATATACAGTTTGTTTGTTATTGTTTGTCTTGCCGTTAGTCGTTGTAGCAGTGTGCAGTCGTTGATTATGTGCTGTTGGTCCTCTAGTACGTTACAGTGTCCGCAGTTTCAGTTTGTGTCTCTTAGGTTAAATCTATTGTAGTATTCTTGTATGAGACCGTGTCCTGTGGGTAATTGTGTAGTCTTCCAAGTAAATTTCGGGTTAGTTAGTTTCACTTGTTGTATTATGCTATACATTTTTCTTCCTTTTGTTGTAGTGTTCCAGTCTTGTTGCCATTTTGTCATTTTTGTGTTTAGTTTGGTGTTTTTATGTCTTCTTTTGTTATTATTGTCAGTGTATTTTGTGGGTTTGTATGTGCTTCGTTTGCTAAGTTATGTGCGGTTTTGTGTTCCAGGTCGTTCCTGTTTATTTTTTTGATGGTGTATGGTATGTTGTGTTTAGTAAGTGTTTCCAAGTTTTTTTTTATTTTGATAATTGTCTTGTTATCACAACTTGAGTACCACAGGGAACGGTCCTATCACCACTAATATACACAATATAGACCGTCAATGTTCCAAGAACATATGGAACATTACTCAGCCTTTATGTCGACGACAAGGCGATAGCGGCCAAGCACAAAAATGTAGACATTTGCAGTAAACAAACAGCGTTGGACAACATTGCAGAATGAAGCATTTAATATAAAATCGTCGTAAGCTTCGAGAAACACAAGCAATGCTCTTTAAAAAGAGCTAACAATACCCAAAGAAATAGCTGACGTTGCAAAACAATTCCATTGAATTGAACAGTGAAGCTAAATACCTGGAATTTATAATGGATAAATGAATAACTTTGGAATGATCTTTCCAAAAAGATGTAGATGCCACACTTTAAAAAGCAAATATGATAAAAGCGTCGATTAGTATCATACTACCGGTACTAACATACGCATTTCTCGCATGGGACACGTCTACAAAGCAAATAATAAAAGAACACAAGCGACCTATAATAGCAGCCTAAGAGAAGCAGTCAACGTACCCAGATACGTCGCTGAACGTTTTCTGTTTAGAGAATAGTAACAAGTCAGAGTGACTGACATGATGATGGAAAAAGCACCCAAGTCCGATATTGCGATAAATAATGAGACATGATGCGTTCCTTCAATGGAAACATAAATGACCTAAACAGCAGATACTGCAATAAACGTAAATATGTAAAATCAGAGGATAGTTCGTAACTCTTTCAAAGTAGACAATTACAATTACTGCGTGGGTATGGCTTTGGCAAAAAAATCAACAAAATACTAACAAACACAAATTAAAAAAATTAACCAAAACCATAAATCCTGGGCACGAATGGCCCAAACCCTCGAGCATCAAATCGCCGAACTGAAAGTAGCTCGGAGCCCAGACATGAGACCCGAGCAAGTAATTCAGATTCGCGAATTAGTCACAAGAATATAGCAGGAATAAAGCGCCTTACGTTAGCCTGCAGAGATCAGTTAGGGTACCATATTGGATTTCTTATACCCAGGACTGCCACATTAAGAGCATTTGAATACTATAGGAAGTAAGGGATGGTCTAGAGCATTGGAGCGCCGTGGAGTGATTCCTGTTATTCCTTATTACTTTGCACCAATAAATTGTAACACCCGAACGTCATTTTAAGAAGTGTAAAAGTCTCTCAGGCTAAATTTAATTAAATTGCTTGCTTGCTGCTGCTTGCTTGCGACTAAGATACTGGTCTTCTAAGTCAGAGTGCTCGAGTTGAATTCTTAGTAGCAACAAGGTTTCGAACAGGGTTAAAGGTCTCATCGATGCCGGAATAGTCCGAAAAAATTTTCCGGGCAAAAATGAAAGCGTGTGATTCGGGAAAAAACAGATGCATATCATAAGGATTGTCTCACAAGGACTGCAAAGTTCACATATCCGCAAATTAACTAGTTATTCCAACATATAGTTGTTAGTGCCTGTAAATGAAGATGTCACCTATGCAAAAAGAGATATACAATCAAAAATTAGAAACTATACAAAGGATGAAAGGACCAAAAAGAAAACATATTAAGATTGGATTTATTTAAAATATATTTCTCGACAATGAAATATAGACACAGCATAAAGAAAATGACTGAAAAATAAGCAAAGATAGTCCAAATACTAAATAAGGGAAAATGGCAAAGTGAGTATCTACATGCAATGGGAAGCACAAAGAAGTAGTCAATCTAAAGAGTAATGGTAGCCAAATATCGGGAGGGTCTAATGGAGTTGGTGAGCTTTCAACATCTTTTCAACGTTTATACTACCCAAACACACCTAGAGTCTTGAGGGGCTTTTCAACTCGGATTCTAAAGTTTGGAGACACCGACACCTGATAACGACCAGTTTCTCAGTAGCTTTTAAGACGACAGCGGTATACTCAATTACTTCTAATTTACTAGTATGCCCACCATTTCACTCCACTGCAAGTTAAACCGCCTCCAATCATGCATTTTAGGATCATGACAACAGGTATTGGAAGAGCAACTATGACTCCGTATTATTATGCTATCGTCTGGCCTGCAAGCAGAGCTATCGCATGCTTCCAGTGTTGACAAAAACATGTTTGAAACATAAAATAGAAATTGTTGAAATAAATGCAATTGGAAGATCACTCATGATTTAAAAAAAATCTTGTGAAAAGAATGAAAGCATCAAAAAACCATTATCGATGACATCGAGAAAACAGTAGACATGGTATGGATACATACAGCGTATGCTAGAAACAAGAATATCTAAAAATTGAAAAAACAAGGAATATGCAAAGATACATTGGAACAGGTCAACTAAACTAAAGAAATTTGCAAGAATTAGACTGGAAACATTAAAAAAATGGAGTGAACGCGTCCAAAAACATCAAATTTATATATTTTATGTAATAAATAATTGTGCAATAATATTCCTAATTTTTTAAGCAGTGTATTTAGTAAGTATATTTTTTATTTGGCTTACCTTAAGTACTTCATATTCCTGCATAGTACAGTCTTTTTTGTCGGAGTACAGATCATTCTTGTCATAATCTTCATTGATATCATTGTCCAGGTAGTCCGAATCTTCGGTTGAGTTCTCGGGAAGGTAATTGTCAGTATGCTGAAAAAAATAATAAAAATTGAAAAAAGATCAATTTTCTTTATCAAATCTTTGTCAAATTTTTCATGGAGTTTTCAGTGAATATGTTTAGCGCTCTAGATTCAACACTTCAACAAGAGCAAATGTTATCCTTACAATTATAATTAAAATTTTATTAATTTTATAATGTTAATTCAAATGAGAACAAAGATAAAGAAAGAGGAGAGAGAAAATGGTTAATATATGGGTATTAGTGGCAGGTACTACTTCACGTGGACGCTGTCATTAAATTTCAAGACATGTCTCAGTCAACATATATGTTGATGACACCAAAAAATGATGCAGATACTATTTAAATCGACTTTTAGTAATTTTTTATCATGGCAATGTTCACAATAAGTTACAGACAGGAAGAAAATTTTTTTAGTCTTGAAAATTGCTTGTAAATAATTCAGAAAACAATATTAAACATTATAAAAACAATCCTTCCACAGATCATGTCCAATTATATGCCTTTAATTATTCAATTTTATTTCTAAAAATTTAAAATATTATTTTAAAACAGACTTGATAAATTTATAGATTTACAAAAAACTTACTGCTGCTGATGGCACATTGGAATCCACCGTCTCATTATCATTTTTGAACATTTCAGGCAAATCATTCGAATCTGGATGTTGCGCATTTAAATCTTGAGTATTTTCATTTAAACTTGTCGAAGTAGTACTTGTAGTTGATGTTGTTGTTGTTGTGACTTCTTCAAAATATATCTGAGATTCTGTGACCAGAGATCGCTCTTCTGCTGGAATAGAAAATTTCATTAAGGTTTAGAATTTAATATAGGACAAACATGCAGAATTTTTAAAACTATATACTGGATCATAAAAGGTAATTTGAATATGTTTTTAATATAGAATACAGCCAGAAATACATAAAAAAACAGGCAATTCTCAGATTAGTGAAAGGTATGACCAAACTTTTTTCCCTTTGCCAAATAGTTGTCTCTACTTCCACTAGTCATTGTATATCTCTGGTTTTGGTTTTACTATAACTATGTTGCCAAAATTTTAAAAAATCCTCATCAACTTTTTTGTTAATATCTCCAGTATACGCCCTGTAGCAAACCTTTGTTTGTTTCTTGAAAAAGCTTCTCAAATTTTAAAACTCTTTATCGTCACATATAATATATTATGTTTGCACAATGCTAAGATAATTCTATTGTACAAAAAAAGAGATCCCAATAAATTAGAAAATTACAGACCTATAAGTCTTCTTGAGGGACCTATAAGGCCAAGAAAAGATGAAGAGAATTGCAACGTAAGAGATGGCTCTTTTTATTACAGAATTCGCCTTGCGGTAACTAATGATGAGGGGCATACATCACCTGCAAAAGACGTTCAGGTTTGTCAAAAAGCTTTTGTTCCTCTTCATGGCATATCCACGAGAAGATTACAAACTGTACAAAAAGCCCTAAAACATGGTACAACCGCCAAGGACAATAGAGGTAAACATGGCTCAAGACCCAATAAATTGTCTGAAGAAACTATGCAGTTAATTTTAAATCACATAAAATCATTCAAAGGACGCATGAGTCACTACAGCCTAAAAAAATCTAGCAGGAAGTACCTTCCAGAGGAACTTAACATTAAAAAGATGTACAAAATGTTCCTTGAGAAACATCCCAATAGAGCAGTGTGCTATGAAGTATATAGAAAAACATTCAACACACGCTTTAATATCTCCTTTGGGTATCCCAGAACCGACACTTGCAGCATTTGTGATGCTTCCAAAATAAAAATAAGGGAATGTAAAGATGAAAAATTAATTAATAAACTTAAAACAGGGCAGAAACTTCACTTGCTGAAAGCACAGACATTTTACAAACGAAAAACAAAAGCTAAACTACGAGCAAGGATCTCAAGAGAATATGAAGTCATAGCCATGGACTATAATAAAAACCTTCCAATGCCTAATATTACGAGTAACGACGTGTATTATAAAAGGCAGTTGTCTTTCTACTCCTTTAATGTCCATCGACTTAGTGATAATGATGTTGTTATGTACTCGTACCCTGAGACAGTAGCTCGAAAGGGTGCCAATGAAGTTTGCTCATTTCTGTATGACTATGTGACAATCCAGCTTCATCCTGAAGTTCGTAACTTAGTGATTTTCTGTGATTCGTGTGGAGGCCAAAATAAAAATTGGACGGTATTCCGGTTTCTACATTATTTAGTCCATAAAATAAACAGATTTGACTCTATTTCTGTGACCTTTCCTATAAGAGGTCACTCTTACATGGAGACGGATAAAGATTTTGGTATCGTTAATCAAAAAAGTGCAGCAGAAACCCCAGAAGATTGGGAAGCAGTGTTACGATTGGCTCGTCAAAAACCTGTGCCTTATAAAGTAGAAGTGGTTGATAACTACTTGGTGCGTAGCTGGGACACTTTTCTTGCACCTATGTATGTTACAAAAGCACCTTTTAAAACTAGACCAATAAGAGAATTAAGCATTTCAAAGCAACATCCCAGACTAATTTATTTCAGAGACACCTACAATGGAACAATGGTTTCGGCTGTCATTAACAAAAAAGTGACTGGTAGGGAACCACCGTATACTGGAAAAGGATTCGTTTTTCCTTCTCGATCCTATACTGAGTCACTGCCCATTCCAATGGCAAAATACAAAGATCTCCAAGTTTTAAAAAAATTTTGTTCAGAAAAAGGAAGAATGTATTTTGATCAGCTAAAAAAAACATGACTTATTTTTTATCTTAAGAATTTTACAATGTTATTGATTCATTTAACAGATAATATTAATGTTTTTAGCTTTAGTTAAGTTAAACAAGTCTAGTTCTGCTTATTTTTTTCTTTCGTTGAATTCACGTTATATTATTTTGTCAATTACAGCGTTTTTGCCTTTTTCCTCCAGACCTTTGGTTGTTTTTTTTTTAATTTCTCTCGTTACCTACTGTACATGACAATTTCAATTTTATAATATCATACTCTATATATATGAGTTGTCAAATACTCAATACAATAGTGGTTTAGCATGTTTATTTATGAATTATGAAGTTTTTCCCCTGTAGTCTTCAAATTTGAAATTCGGAAACGGCATAGTTTTGTTATCAAGGAGATATGTACAATGTTACATGAACTTCAGTTATTGTGTGTCAGTGCGGGTCTTAAAACAAAATTTATGACAAATCTAGTACCTTGCAAAAATATCAATATTGGAGACAATGAAGTAGAGCTGGTGAAAAAATAGATATATCTTGAACACGAAATAAAGATCACAAGAGACAACCAAACAGGTGAACTACGAAGAAGAATAAACCTAGCATGGGTAGCCTATGGAAAACTCAAAGACATCTTCAAAAGCGTTATACCAATTTCTTTAAAACGTAAAACATTTGACCAGCTTGTGTTGTCTGTGATAACTTATGGTGTCGAAATTTGACATTGGCAGCTACAACTTCTAAAACGCTGCAAATAGCTTAGAGGAAAATGGAAAGATCAATGCTGAGTATATCGCTTCGTGACCTAGTTAGAAATGAAACTTAAGACAAAGAACAGGAATTACTGATGTAATTTCCCTAATTGCCACACTGAAATGGAACTGTGTCAGACAGGTCGTCCAAATAAGTAATGAAATGTGGACGGAGAGATTGCTTGAGTGAAGGCCGAGGGTAGGTGTACAAAAGAAGTAGAGGAAGACCCCCTACTTGTTGAACTGACGATCTTAAAAAAAATGTCAAGAAATTGGATGAAAGATACTCAAAGATAGAACACAATGCACAAAAAGAAGGAAGGCCTATTGTTTTTGTTTATACTTTTTTTGTAAATTTGTTTTAAATGTATGTTGTAATTTATTTGACTTTTAATATTGACTTTATAAATTTTATTCTTCTTCTTCTTCTTCGTCTAGCCATTCACTTCCACATCTGAACATAAGCCTCTTCAAGTCTTCCTTTCATTGTTTTTTATTGTACGCTACTTGTACTCTGGGTCTTTTGTGTTGGTATGGTCTCCAGGTTAAAATTGATCTGTGCCATTTGTTTAGATCGCTCCTACTACATGTCCAGCGTATTCCCATTTCAACTTTAATGATTTTTGCACCACATCGGTGACTTTGGTTTTCTGTCTTATCCATGTGTTTGTTTTCTTGTCCTTAAGTGATATACCTAGCATTGCTCTTTCCATCGCGTGTTGAGTGACTCAAGTATATTCATATTCTTTTTTGTGATTGTCCATGTTTGTGCCGCATAAGTTAATATCGGAATAATGCATGCATCAAAAACTACAGATCTAAGATGTAATTAAATTTGTTGATTTCTGAGTATATAGTTCAGTTTACCGAATGCTGCCCAAGCTAACTTTCTTCTTCTTTTTATTTCTTCAGTTTGAATTTCCCTATTTAGGATTATTTTTTGTTCTAAGTATATATATTCTTCAACTTTTTCTATAACTTTATTCTATAAATCTTCTTCTACTTCTTCTTCTTCTATAATTTTATTTCTAGGAACATTTAATTCAAGTGTAGTGATCCAAGATTGCATTAAAATTGTTATGATTGCATAAATGATTTAATCACTTAATCAGGTAGTAGATATTTTTTGGTGGGATTTTAAAAAACATGTATACTTTAATCATCATGTCACTAACCCCGTAAAACAATGTTTTATATAAATTTTTAAATTTCATAATTTCCCAAGTTCCGTATTCCTGTTCTACATAGTTTCGCCCTCCCCTTTTCGTTCCAAACAGCTCCATTTGCGTGGTAGATCCCCGTCATCCCGTCCTTGTAAATAAAATAAATGAATGCATCGTGGGTTTATGTTGGCAGCTCTAAATCTGCGAAAATACGAAACAAAATCCTTTTGCAGATGCAAAGCAAAAAGGAGGGGAATGTTATTATTTTAAAATTTGCCCGCCGCCCATTTACTACCCCATTTAGCGCGGTTACCTTACTTTATGTCGTTAATGTTATGTAAATTTGGTTTGGAAAACAGAGAGATACATTCTTTTTTGTTTTTATGCCTAAGGTCAATGTATTTTTCGGTAAAAAATTCAGTGAATTTTGAACAAATAGTAAGAAGGATAGAAGAACTGGGGTAGCTAATATTGTAGAAAATTAAACATTGAATCAACAGTATATTGACGATATCTACTACGATACTCTTTAATTATTGTTTGCTTAATAGCTCTGCTTTGGCCATATCTTTTGTAAATGGAATGCATTTTTCTTGTATGGTCTGTTTTTAAACCAGGAGGAGTAATTCAAATTTTCCGCGCCATAATGCTTGTTTGTAATTGGTCGAAGCGCAGGCAAGTTTACTCCACTAAATTATGACATATTGACACTAATGACATTTGTGAAATTTTAAAATTCAAAATTTATATCGACAATTTTCTGATTTTCTGTGTTATTTCTTACATCTTTAGATTTTTCGTTTGCATTTATATAAAAAACAGTTATTTTCAGAACTATTTGACATATTCAGAACTATTTAGCGACAACCGCTCAGATCTTCCAAAATATGTGTCGTTCATTATTATATAAACTCTTTAAGCAAATCAATTTGAAGTAAGTACAAATATCGGTATGTAAATATGGGTTAGCTACAATTATATAGTAAAATTAACTAAAACATTTTATAGATTTCATTTTTATAATCAGGTATATTATTGTTACTATTAAATATTAAGTTTTAAATTTTTATTTGTATACTCTACTGGAATGTTGTCAAGTATTTTGGTTTAACTGATATAAGAACATGGAAAGGGAAGAAAAAAAAAG